GGACGATTAGGGTCTTCAACCAAAGCCTTTGGCTCAAAAGCCTAACCGCAAGGTAGCGGTGTTTGGCGGGAAATGCAAATGCATTACCATTTCTACGGAACAAGTCGCCACATGTTCCAACCCCCAACCTGGAGGGCCAGGAGACTGTGTTCGTCAGACCTCTAACCATTGACCAACCTGGTATGAGAGACTCTGTGAGTGTCGCGGGACACTCTCCAGTATAGCTCAGTGGATCGCTGAGGTGCGCAAACCGTCACACCACGGTAAGGTCCAGTCTCTTCGTGACGGGGTCCAGTCTCTTCGTGACGAAGATGCGTTTTTCACTCAGGTGCAATATCTGGTTGTCTCACATAAAGTAAGCCAACATGAAGAAAATTTGCAACTCCATGGTCGAATGACCGTTTTCCACCGTCCTAAGGAAGTAGGCCTCCGGGGAGGGAATGGGTTTAGCCGGGTCCCGAAGTGGGAAAACACTAAAACATACTCGTCACCCCCCACGTCTACTTCTGCAGTGTTATCAGGAATCACTGATAAAATATTCGTAAACTTTTCTGGTTAAGCCTCTTCATCCACTCCTATCGATTGCAATCAATGCCAATTTTCGTGTTCTTCGAAGATAGGTGATTCAAACCTCCAAAGAGCATACTGAATGTCTGATTTTCAATGGCCCCCAGCTGACCTGCGAAATCCAATATGGGTTTTTCGTTCAACTGGTTTTTCATATGAAGAAACGAGAGACCTCTTTCCCTCGTTCCCTCTTGCGAGCTTCTACATAACTGATGAATGACCGAGATGACAGTGGTGCTGGCTCCCTCGATCGATGCAGTAATTGCTTCACCACGTTGAGGAAATTCTAGACAGACTTTCAAGCTTAGGATCGTAGTGTAGGCTCGCACGCACATGTGGCTCCGTCCTCAAATGTAGGGTTCAAACAAGCTTTGAAGCTTCGAGCGTTATTCGTGACCCGTAAAAGCGCACCCACATGAAAGCATCGGTGTTCTATTTTGGTTGAACCAGTGATCGACCAAAGGAACAAGCCATATTGCGATACTAAAACAAGGCCAAAGTGAGACAAAGGAAAGCAGTCTGAAACGCGAATATTGTTCACTCGGCAGTCTATACGCACAAACCGTTGTGAAAACACAACAGTACACCAGCGCGTTGACAAAATCACTAATTGGAATGAAGAAGGGATATTAGGTAAACAAGTCTGCCGGTCGGTAATGCAGTGTCCATCTGATAGGAGTTTTTGGCCTAGCGGTACTGCGTTTGATGTCCCCTGTCCGGTTCAGTGAGGTGCTTCAATATGTACGGGCAAGTTTCAGAGGTGCATCCTCATTCCCACGTGCGGTGTCAAGTGCGTGACATTTAATGGCATTTGTCGAAATAAGAACAACGGAATACACTAAGTAAACCAATGCGATAATCGTTCTGGGAGGGTTGTGCATTGGAGAACTGGTCACTGTAGCAACTAGAACAGTTTGTCAAAAACACAATTTCCACTGAATTTTCAAGATTTCAAAAGAACTATCATAAGTGATCACGTTAGCAGGGACTGCTCTGACAAAGAGATGCTATACGAGGGCCAAGATGTTTCCTAATCCAGTGAGACGTTTACCATTTTACGTTTTAGAAGTGCTGAATGTTTGGTTCAATTATGCTATTAGTTGCCAGCGTGAATACGCTGTGTGTCAAGACATTCCCTCAAAACGATCAGACCTAATACTGGTTCCGAATGGTTTGCGGTGGCAGTCATTAAATTGATAACATGGCATGCTGACCAAAAATCGATACCAATTCACTTGACCTGCATAAACGGGGTTGTTTCCCACGGTTTCTAAGTTGTTCATCAAGTCATTCGCATATTGTCCATATACAGAAACCAGGCAGGCTGCACACTAGTTGGTAGCCTTCAAAAAGGGGACATTCCAAAACGCGTAAAAATTCGGTCGATGTGGTTTTCGAAGAGTGGTCAGTCAAAATGACGTCGCCCCTGAGAGGCTCCGTTGAAAACCCATCATTAGGTGGTGATCGCCCTATGATTAGACTGTGATAGTAACCATGCAACTCTAGGTCAGTGCGCTAACAAACTGACCAAACACTTTGGCTACAAACATGGTCACCTTGCAACTAATTCAATTCTACAAGCAATATGTTTACGAGCTTAAGATAGCCCGGCGATTGCGCTACGAAGCAACTGACCGAAAGGTTTTTGGTCCGATCCGAAACCCGGCTTTTCGATCGCTCCTGTCTAGACTAGGGTAACCTGACTGTATTTCAGCCCTCGTGCTCCCTTAGGGCAGCATTGCAGCTAGGAACCGAAATAGCTTTTGCACCATTATTCTATTCACTAAACAACATTTCAAATGTCTCCTAGTTTTTCGGAAGCTCATGTTCGAAAAATCACCCATTTAAGTAACAAACTGACAGGGATGTAACAAAAAAAGAATGACATTTCGGTCATAATAAAAGTGGGTAGGACGTTTGAACCCAACGTGAGAAACCGGAAACATTTCAGTTAACGAGAAACGAACCCCAAACAGTGGGCGCAAAAAAACTCACATTTCATTTTGCACAACAATTCGAATTAAAGATATGTCTACTTCGTCGATATGAAGAATGAGGCTGTACATCTGAAAAACAGAGAGAGAATGGAAAAGTAACGTAAATATAGCGCTCCTTTCTCACAAGAAGCTAGAAACAACGTTTTTCCTACAGAAATATATATGATTTTCTAATTTTTTCAAACCAATGGGCAAGCATCAAACACTTTCTTGGAAACGGCCAACCAATGACCGTGTCATTCTGTTGATATGAGTCTTCCAACAGGCCGGTAACATCTGCTGGATTCCAATGAACAAGTCGGGATCGTATCACTCTTGTTCCACAGAAAAGAAGTTCATTAATCGAACATACATCGAATGGGCATCAAAATTAATGGCTTCCCATTGTTAAATGATGGATCTGGCTGCAAAGAACCCAAAGGACAGCTCGAACAGATGAGTGACAGAGCATGCGTATAATGAAAAAAACTACAAAAGAAAACCGGTTGATCGTACAGGCAAAAAGTGAAAAGTATGGAGTAAATAAAAACTGATGCGGGTGTCACAGAAAGAATATTAGCGAGCTGGGAAGAAAGTCTCTTCCGGTTGAATAAAAATCATGTTTGGGGTTAAGCCAAGAAATTTGTTTGAAACGTCCCAGCACCCCAGTTATAAAGTAGGCACGAAGAACCTGTGACGAGCGCGCTCGGCTAGCCAGTATGCTCAAAAGTGGCACGGGTTCTCAGTAGGGTTACAAGTAAGACTGAAAGCTGGCCAGTCGAACGGGTTGAGGTGATGGAATATAAGTCAGCTCTGGATAAGGTGTGATCTATGAACCGCTGTGTTGTCTTTTCTAAGTACCGGGATATCCTACCAGAACCCCCCGCGCTACCTTCACGATGCACCTCAGGCGCAGCGTCAAATAAGCACACTATAATTATAGCTGCAGTGCGAGACACAAGCACTCACACCACATCCAATCAAAATCAGCGCCAGCTTCCGTCTACATAGTACATGCGAAGAGGCGGAGAGTGGAGAATAAGAACAAAGCCGTTCAATTCGTATTCCCTAATCGGCACTTCACATCCAGTTTTGCCCAAGCGATGTGCTAAGCTGAACTATCTGAAAGGGATAGAATCCTGATAGCACTGAAGGAAGCTTTCATCAAGCCTGTTCGTTTCATTAACCGAACAAACAAGCCCACGAGACAAAAATTCACACACCAGGTGTTCGTGAAAACAACAGAGAGACCAATGTTGCGGAATATTGGACTATCAGGGGATTCTCGGTGGTCGCTAAATTGCTGAAGTTCAAGGGAACAAGAAAAAGTGTATAGCTGGTGTGAACAACGAAGATGAAGAGAAATTCACAACCCAAGAGGTGACCACACGTTAAATATTCTCTGTTAGGGTGAATCCACTGTATGCTTCTGAATATTCTGAACGCACGGGGTCGGTTATAAGTGGGTGATAAGCAGTGCATTAATCATGGCCAGCTGAAGACATCTAACGAAGTACTGGTGGAGCTATCGGAATTTGAGCAGTTACGTTTCGAGCAATTGTTTGACAAACGAGATGAAGTGCACTTAGTAGAGTGCATAGTCATAGTTCATAGTCTTTTGATTTAATATCTGAGCCGATTTCCGTAATGTTTAGCCGTAAGCTGATGTAGGCATCCTTATGTAGCGTTCAGCTGTAGCACCCTTCCGGTGCCTAGCTGCCATGCCACCCGAAGGAAGCACGAGGGCTTGGATACTGCCAGGTTGCCCAAGCCTAGACAGGGGAAGTCGAGTGGCGGAGGTCGGATTCGAACCACGGACCTTCCGGTCAGTAAATTGCGCTCTAACCACTTGGGCCATCTCGCATCCTTATGTCCCACCGACTCGTGTCATCACAAGTGACATTTGAGAAAAAGTAGCTAGTCGAAATACGTGCGGACACGTGGGCAGTGGCATTGTTCATTGATATATACCATCATAAAGGCAGAGTTACCTGCAACGGCCATCCATACAAAAGACCAAAACTTCGCATTACCAGCCTCCAAAGTAATGGATCTTCGGCAGCAATGAGTAAGCGGAGTTACTGCAAGCAACCATCGTCACATTCGTTGGTCTACTTGCTGAACTGGGCAATTTAGTTGCGGATGAACGGCCACTTATACAACCTCGCTTAAGATAGTCTCTGAAACAGAACCAACCTCTACTGTTTGACTCTAATTTCTGAGTCCTGTATGGAAAAAAACTAGTAGCAATTCAGTTCAGTTTAATATAGCCTTTCGCGTCAACTACTTAGAAAAATCGTACTTAGTCACCAGAGCATTTGAGCACTGTCAGTGAACGATGATGAATCGGGTTGATCAGGATCTTTGATGACGAAAATCATCAGGCAAAAAGTAGAGTGAAGGTTATAAGATAAACGAGTGAATGAAAGTACACTATCGGGATGGCAACATCCTTACGGCATTCGGAATAGACCAAAACTGTAGATCGTAGGACCCAATGCTAAGAGGAAACTTTCAGCTTCCTCATGTTTGATTTCCAGATTATACCTTCTTCCGATTGAAGCGGGCTTCGGCAAACAGGGCGCATTTGGTATGCGAAAAACATGGGACAGAAATGGCGCTAGACAGAGTTTCTAGTCACCTGGTCAAAGACAACTGCGCGTGACTAAAGCATTGCCATGTTGCTAAAATTGGGGACGGAAAAGGCTCTGAACAATGCTCCTGGTTCGCCCACAACTATCTATCTCAAGACCATAAGCTCAACTGATGAATGCCACGCGATGTGTACGGGGTTTCTCACGTGTGTGTAGAACGGTAATAAGAGTCAGCCCGGTTCATGAAGATCACAGAAATGAGTTCCAAATTAACAAGGATATCGCGAAGCGAGACAGCGGCTATAAAGTGAAGAAGAGTGAGCTTGACATGTTGTACGCTTACGAATGCGAGTAGCGTGCTTCAGTATTATTTTTATCGACCGGGAAGATAGAGGCTCAACTAGAAACAATCATAGTTTTGCCAACTTAGTGCAAAAAGGAGCACACTACTGTACGCTACTGATAAATTCATTGCAGTGGGAGAGCAAATACACGGGTTGAGACCATGTTCCAATCGTTTATGCATATGTCCCTCAGAAAAAAACATACCCATTCAATACGGGCAAGGAGAAGTCGGCGCTTCCTGGCAAATTTGACGTGAACTGTGGGATGGTAGCCGAAGTCCCGCGAAGTAGTAGAGGCCGTTTGTTCCGTCATGCTGGTTGCCTATGAAGCCCAAAATCAATAGGAAGACCATTAACCTCCGGCAACGCACTCATGAAGACACCTTAAGGAACCTTTGCCAGCCTACAATGGAGTACACCCACAATGGAAGTAAACAAGTGAATGTGAGCCTACTCTTTGACGGGCAACTGGTGCTGTAATTATGCGAAGATACGAGGATGGTGAAACCAAAGTTTGGTGCCTGCTTACGACCCTTGGCAATCGGTTGGTCACGAGTCGAGGGAACGAAACCAGTGGCGCGGTTAACAGGCTCTGAAACAATTGGTCAGCATTAAGGACAAACTGCTGACTTTCTAACGACTGACAAAGCAGTAATGCCCTTCCCCACCTATTCAACAGTAGGTAATGTAACCCACTAGCAGAACAAACTCAGCAGTTGTTGTCTACAGTCACACGTCCGGGAATAAAGTGACTTGTAGATGCCTCTTCTACGGTCACGACAAGAGATTTAATCCACTACATTCTCATACACAAAGCAGGCTTCTGTAACCGAATTGTATGGTTTGTCATGCACAGCAAATCGACAACACCTACCGGATTTTCCGTCGAATTTTCGCTGACCAGCTCCGACTCGCAGCTACCGGAGGACAAGGCCGAGGCTAGCGAAAGCTCCACGACGACTCGCGGACAGTGGACATTCGATCTGGTCATACGTCCAAGAGAAGAGCTAGTATCCACAGCAGCTGCAACATTGGCGGAAGGTTGTGAAACGAGGGACGATGAAGGACTTGCTTCCCGTTTCATCGATGCAGCTGGATCCTCGTTTGCCGGTGTGTTATCCGGCGACTGTGAATGACGTAGAGCTGGTACTAAGGCCAACGGAACAACAAACCTACGCTTGAGCGAACTAAAGTGGAAATGGTCGCTGTCCGTAAGGTTCTCAGGAGACAACGGACTGGGCATGTGCATTATAGGAGGTAGCTGACCAGGGAGTGGCGGGCCGTTTCTTGGTTGCCTGGATCGTTCAGCGGTTGCTTGTCGTAGCCATCGGACTGCAAAATAGTAGTCCTAAAACAAAAATCAACCAAAGTAGTAATGGTGCTACAACTAAAATTCCAGGATAACTGTAAACGTCAACAAGAAAACAAACACTTAACGACTGAACAGTTGACAGACCGCTCTAATATACAAGGTCTTGATATGGCTGGCTAAAATAGAAGAGGAAATAGGACACAGTGTACTTTTCTGATGGACTGATTAATTACTGTCGGAATTCAGATATGAGTTAAACTGCTGCAAGTCATTGGTAAAAGCACGTGCTCAAGATATTCAAGGAACTATGAAAAAAATCACATAAGCAGCGTAACGATGATTTTCGTAGGCTTTTGGAGATTCACCGCACGGGAGCACACAATGACCGTAAAAGACATGTGCTCGCTATAAAATGTTACATATAAAAGGTGCTCTTCGACAGTCATGCCAGCGAAGAATAGGATGGTGGGAATACCTGGCGCATAGGCAGCCATGCTTGAATCACGAGCTGATAAGAAAAAAGTGTATCAACTAAGATTTGCCTACCAACTCAGTGAGCACGTTCCCGAAGTAATATTCATAACATACGAATCCAGAGTCCGATGAGTGCACTCATGCGCTATCCGTTTATTCCATGAGCTAAAAGAAATGAATATGGCCTTCTGCGGTTGTGATAAATAAAAATAATCGTTCAGCTTAAACACCGTTTCCATGTCCAGCCGCTGGGGGGGGGGGTGAGATACTACCAGATTGCCCAAGCTTAGACAAGGATCGTCGAAATGCCGGGGTTGGGTTCGAACCACGGACCTTTCGGTTACTGAGTATGCGCATCAACCTGTGAGCTTTCTCGAACACTGTACGTGTACAGAAAAACAATGAGTATCTTTGCTGGCTAGTAAACCTAAACGCCAAATAAAGAACACACCAAGGCTAGAAACAGATGAATAACTACTGGTCACGCGAAATCAGGTCAACAACTTACTTGTACATAAGGGTTGGATACTATCAGAGGCCGCAGATGCATGAGAAGTACACCGATCGACTCGAACCTAGTCATCCAACTTCCCACGTTAGGATCAAACGGTTCGTTTGAATCTGCATCCGCACCCATAGTTTCATCAGCCTTCACGTACTGAACCCACATGGGATTCGCAGGACGAACAACAGATCGGACGGCTGGTGCGTAATGGAGTCCTGACGGCGGTGGTGGCGGCGGCGGAACACAAAATTGAAGAGGTGGATGGGATGTTTGTCTGACTAAAGTTGGATGCGTTTGTGTGCCACCACCGGCGAAACGCATAGCAGGTGAAGGTAACAGTGGAACACGCATGCCCGGAGTGATGGGTGGCGGGAAAAGCTGTAGGATCCTGGGATCACGAACCATATTTGCGGTTCTGCTAATAAAAATACGGATACAGATGAAATGACAACATGGCAGCAGACATGGTGGTCTTCTTCCACCAAACAAGGCGTGTTTTCTTGACACTCCAATAAACAGCACCATTTTGAAATATCGGGTTACTTCACTACGATGACCACTGATTTAAGAAGATCGTCTCAGAGCGCATCACATGATCGAAGAGTAGCCAGATCGAAAGTGCGGTTCGAGTTTCATACTTAAAATAGATCACTAACGAGCAGTTTCTGCCTGTTGGCCGGAAAAAGCAGGGGAACGACTGACGCTTATGCCACTACTTATTCAAATAAAAAACAGGCTCATTGCTCAGGTAAGGTGACCAGTAAAATGACGGCGAAGGGAGTTATGAAATCTTTAAAGAGAAACTTTCTGGCAAATCATTCGACTCAGTTAATGGCGTTCCTGTTGGACTACATGACATCGGCGAAGGCTTCCACTCAGGTTGTGTTCTACCCACGAAAGCTCACATTCTTTATCAACGACCTCGCGCTTCTGCCAGTGGTACAATTCCCCAACCTTCTTCTAATTTTAATTCTTCGTATAGATTTGCATCATCTTGGATTAGAGGTAACCAGGTGCATTCCACCAGTCTATTGAATAGCAGTATCCCATTGTTCAGCTGTACCACCTTTTCGGTACTTAGCTGCCAGGCCAATGGGGGATACGAGGGCTGGGATGCCGCCAGGTTGCCCAAGCCTACCGCGGAGCGAGACGCTGAGGTTGGCTTCCGGTCCCCAAGCTGGAGCCTTAATCACTCAGCTATCTCGACGCCCGTCCATAGCACAGACATTCATGATGGGGCTTAGTGAACAACATTCAGCAGCAACATGCATTTTCAGTGAAGTGTTCTGCCCACGAAAGCTCACATTCTTTATCAACGACCTCGCGCTTCTGCCAGTGGTACAATTCCCCAACCTTCTTCTAATTTTAATTCTTCGTATAGATTTGCATCATCTTGGATTAGAGGTAACCAGGTGCATTCCACCAGTCTATTGAATAGCAGTATCCCATTGTTCAGCTGTACCACCTTTTCGGTACTTAGCTGCCAGGCCAATGGGGGATACGAGGGCTGGGATGCCGCCAGGTTGCCCAAGCCTACCGCGGAGCGAGACGCTGAGGTTGGCTTCCGGTCCCCAAGCTGGAGCCTTAATCACTCAGCTATCTCGACGCCCGTCCATAGCACAGAAATTCATGATGGGGCTTACTGAACAACATTCAGCAGCAACATGCATTTTCAGTGAATCCACACAAGTTTCTACTACCCGTCGATATTTCTTCGCCTAAAATATGTTGACTACATTAAAATCTTTAAATCAACCAACTGCTCACTCTTAACTTCAGTTTCCAACAAGCGTGACAAGCTCCGCATTCAAGGCAGCTGGTCGTGGGAAGGTTCGAAGTCCGAAACTAACCCTAGCTTTTCGAATGTTCCTCAAGCGTGGGAGTATCTCGGGAGTGGTCTTTGTTCTTCCTTCGGGATGCATGACAGCCGAAGGATTTAATCTATTTATAGGTCAAACAGTCTATCCCTTTAAAACTAATTCCAACCCTAGTTCCAGAATAACAATTCCCTTTTACTATCTCCAAAGAACTTCCAAACTTCGCAGCCTGTGCTACCCCTAGATCCTCTTCATTTCGGTGTGATGTTACTCACATACTGTTTTCACTTCTACAGAGATGTCGAACTTAACTTGTGTGTTCCACTGAGTTCCATCGTCAATCGATAATCTCGAGACAATCTCTTCCGTCAGGATGTAGCCTGTTCTTCGTTACTATGCTGTCAGTACCGCAGTAAGTGTTCTGCTGAGGCTACTTCGTACATCGCCATCCCACAATCGTTCAGTCAAGTTAAGTCCTTACGGTCAAACACTTCAGCCTCTTGTCACTCCCCAAGAACAGCTTAATTTTCACTCTGCTTTTCCAAATCCTCCGTATTTTTAAGGATGGAGTTGAAGGTCACTTGTCGAAAACCCTCACAATGCTTCAACACTGCGTACTTTTCATATGCGGTTGATCTGTTTGGTGCCAGTCATGTCAGTGCACTTTTTGCCATACTTCATTGCGATTCATGTCTATGTCAGCCCTATGTCAATCATTCTTACAGAGGAGTCCTGACTAAGATTCCTCCCGTGTAAACCATCCCTTTAAGTACTTCATTGCGATTCATGTCTATGTCAGCCCTATGTCAATCATTCTTACAGAGGAGTCCTGACTAAGATTCCTCCCGTGTAAACCATCCCTTTAAGTACTTCATTGCGATTCATGTCTATGTCAGCCCTATGTCAATCATTCTTACAGAGGAGTCCTGACTAAGATTCCTCCCGTGTAAACCATCCCTTTAAGTACTTCATTGCGATTCATGTCTATGTCAGCCCTATGTCAATCATTCTTACAGAGGAGTCCTGACTAAGATTCCTCCCGTGTAAACCATCCCTTTAAGTACTTCATTGCGATTCATGTCTATGTCAGCCCTATGTCAATCATTCTTACAGAGGAGTCCTGACTAAGATTCCTCCCGTGTAAACCATCCCTTTAAGTACTTCATTGCGATTCATGTCTATGTCAGCCCTATGTCAATCATTCTTACAGAGGAGTCCTGACTAAGATTCCTCCCGTGTAAACCATCCCTTTAAGCGTAAATAAAGTCGTGGCGTTGAGAAAAGTTACGCGGTGTGCTGTTTAGATGATATCTCGGAATGAGAAGTTTAAGTAGACGCAGTAGGGCGTCATATCATCCGCCCACAGAGACCACGTCTCGCACCCATACAATAACACAACCCTTAGTGTAGCCTGGTACACACGACCCTTAACATTTAGTGAGATGCCTTCTTGACGCTACAAGTGATACAAATCAGCAAACATGATTCGAGCCTTCGATATTCTTGCACTGACATCTCGCTTGCTGGGTGATCTGCCAATCGAACTAAACACCGCCGCTGTATGTTATTTTAGACCAAGGCGTTTTGACTGCTGGGCATTCACGAAGTTCGGCCCATTGTCGAAGTAACATAAAGAACTGATTGATAGTGTCCAGAGATACTCAGAGTTAAGTTAATGAGCGTAGTTGTGGAAAGTGCACTAGCAAGCGAAAGGAAAGTAGTACAATGCTTTCCAATATATCTGGTTTAATGAATAAGGGAACAAAGGAATAAACTACGCACCTGTTTTGCGCGTTGAGCAACAGGAAATGCAGAGCAGAGGCCCCGAGATCGTTCTGCAAACCCGAATACGTGCCCAGCAGCAAAGGGCGCACTCCAAAGTTATCGGCAACAGACGGCATGACTGCACAACTGACAGGTGGCTGCTGTCACAATTAAAAAGACATGATGTTAGCAAGAAGCGAAGTCGGTGGAAAATTTGGACGTCATAAGACAGAATTACTTAATATACAGTAAATACGACAATATTTGCTGCACCTGGAACTCAACAAGGCAGAAGGCAATACAGACGCCGAGATAGCATCATCACCTCTAGCGTACAAACAGATAAAAGCAACAACAACGTGCACCACCTGATCTTGTGAACCAAGTATGTAATGGTTTGTGTGTTACAGCGCATGGAAAATGGAATACGAGGAAACCCAAGATCAGGCACAAGAGAGACACTACTAGGATCGACTAGAACCATTTTAGAACTCGCTATTAACCAAACGCAATCGTCCTCCTTAGTTCCACCTTCCAAACATACAGGAAACGAACAACTAAGCTTAAACTAGCAGTAGAAGTAGTAGTAGTATGGGGTTTCTGAAAACTTTTCGACGACTCACGATCGTTTTCACCCCTCTTCGAGCTCAATAGGTAAGTTCAGTCCCCGAGTTTCCGTCAAACTAACGTCCCGTTTGAAACTAAACTGGATCTTACTCGTTTGCGTCAAGTAATCCGTTGTCCTGCATGACGATTTTAGCCGACTCCTACGCTTGAGGACAATCCTCTGTTTGGGTACAGCCAGAAAATACTCTGAGCAACGCACTTGGTGGTGTCGACAATATACCTACGGAACATGGAACTTTTCCTTCCTCGTAAACTGCACCAACCGGATGAAAGCAACGTTTCGGAGCAGTTGTGGTTACGTGTGGCTAGTTCACTGACAAAATTTGTGAGCCCACGCTCCTCAACAGCAAAGTAGCCCGGAAAGTACGACAGTCTTGTACACGTCGACGTCAACGAGGGTGAGGTTTACATATCCGCCAGTTGTTTTACCAAGGTGAGTGCCTAGTTCGTTATAGATTCTGTTGGTGATGAAGATATACAAAACTGCCTGTCATTTCGACCGAAGGTGAGAAGAGTGCGAGAACAAGCAGGCGCAACAGCTAACCAATCATTATAACTTTACAATTCTGAGAAGGCAAACGCAGTCCGAAAAGACGAAAAGATGTGTATCCTGAGCCCAAACCGAGACTACGTTGTCCGTATAATCCGCTTGATCAATAAATGGGTTCGCACAAGTATGACTTACTCCTCACACATTGGACAACTGTGGTAACCTAACAGCAATCGTGGCTGCCCTGCGATTAGACTTGCTCTCTGGGCATCCCAGCAGTATCTTAGCTCAGATTCACCCATGAAGTATACAACTAAAAACAAGTTCATCCCGAATCGACCGCTGCGTATAGCATCATCTGGGTCGATTTACTAGCTGCAGGAATTACAGAACTTCGTATGTGGGACATAGGGTTAGCCCATTGGCTCCGAATTCAACCCTATGATATGCTAATGTACTTTGTTTTAAAGCCCCAGTGAACCTATTTCAAAATTTCCACATGTGTTCCCACCTGATAACCTTCGTGGCAATAGACAGCTCCCCTCAAACAGACTATTGAAGACAGGGTCTGAAACCGTTATATCAACACTGAGATACTCCCGTACTCACCGTGCTTCGGTAAGAATACCTACACCGTGGAACACTATCTCAAGACATCAACTGTCCACCTACGTTACAAACTTGAAGGATATTCTGCTTCAGAGATGATGGGACGACCCTGTCACTTCGAATGACCCAACGTTTATAGCGACTTGGCTCATGGCGTTCACTTTATGTAAGCACTTTTTTAATTTTTTTATCAAACTATACCAAAGGACATCCAATAAAAATACCGAACTTGGAGACCGGGAAGTGAGGTCACACCGACCCACTGAGGCTAATCGGTCATTCACATTTTGTGACCACAGAACCCTCGTCATCACCAATGTGGCCGCAAGTTTAGAATGACAGTCGCTTTAGAACTTAGATTGTGTGGTAGTCTTATATCAGTTTACAGCTACACCACCGTGACGGACAGGTTCAAAAACTCCTGAGTCCCAAAAGGACTCCAGAAATCATCCATCGATACCATATAGGATATTATCCGACTAATTGTGTGAACGGTTCGGTTCATCTTCCTATGTAATTAAATACAACAACGATCATCACTTACCAATCTCGCAGGAAAATTTAGAGGCGTAACAGCAAGGGGTGGTCGGTCTGGGTGAATTGGGTGGCGCATAAAAGGCGGCCCTCGCCTATCAGTAAGCGAGCGTGAGTTCATAGATCCGACAGTATCCAGGGGAATGGGTAACGCACAGGATACTGACACCGGTTTCTTGGAATACTTGGCCCCGACCGCTTCAGATTTGACACGAGTCTCTGGTACAGGAAAAGATTGACGGTGAATGTTACCCTCCCGAAGCAACTTCGGTAACAGGTTTGTAGATCCAGGAAGAGAAGTATCTTCCGAATGCTTTTCATTGGAAGGTGAAGCGGAACTACCCAGACGACGCAAGATATCCATAAGGCTGAGTGAGTCGCGTGAACTTGTTGCTTGTTCACGCTTACGCACGGTAGCACCCATTGGTGCGCTGGCCTCATCCGAACTCCATATGTCCTTGCATGTGCCAAGAATATTCGTGTGAGCTGGTGGGTAAGATGGGACATCGAGAATTTTCTCTAGTGCTGATCCATAGGACTTCTGACGGCATACTTTCCGCGAAATGTCTAATATAGCCGGATCGTCAAAGGTTTCATCTTCTGACACCAATTTCTGAATAGTCTCTTCAACGTCCACCCCCTAAATTTTAGGTTGGGAGAAACGGAAAAACTTGCCCTCTCTCTTCCTTCATCTTCAAAGACGTTCTCGAATGTCTCGAGAGCATTCGGTTGCCACAAGAAGGAAAAATCTCCAGGGGCTTCCCAAAACCTTGGAAGCGCATCTGCTTCTGGCGCCAAATTCTCTGATGCACTTTCCTTGAGTGCAAACTGTTCATGTTCTAACTCCCAGTCACCTATGGAACTCATGAAAGATTGAAACGTGTTCACACTCACCTGCTTCCGCACAGTCGAAGGTCTCGTCGTTCAGGGCGTCAAAATCCTTTGAAAATCAGGATTGAGAAACTATTTCAGGTTACCTCGTGAAGGGAATCCGGCGAATCCATCACCTGTTGAAGATCGTGGGGAACATAACTGTAGGCCGCATAAAAATACGAACCCAGCGGCGGACCCAAACAGATAAGACGGATACTTGAAAGCCATCAATCTGATTGGTTCACGGAGTTTCACAGGCTTCTAAAACTTCATGGGTCGATCCAGGACACTTATGCCTCATTTTTTACTTACCTTGCCATTAACTTGTAGGGTGAAGGTCCTTTTGTTGTTGGTGCTTTTTCGTTGTTGCAGACCACAAAAGTGGACAAAAGTACGAGTGGCCGACGCTCCGCGTCCGGCATGAGGGGACCGCTATGTGAGAGGAGAAAAGTTCACAAGCAATCAGGTGGTTGAAGTGGTAGTGTGAGACCTAGCGAAGGGCTAGTTAACAGGAATCAGCCATAGACATGTATGGCAGCTTATGGCTCACAGGGCATGTTGTAAGAAACAGCTCGTCGTCGCACTTTTCTTTGAGCCTCCTCAGAGGGGAAAACGGTTGCGCGCAGCTTGCGCATCTAGAGAAGGATACCTAAGGAAGGCGAGTTGGTATTGGGTGTCTGACGCAGTGCGATAACAGCAGTTTTGTCAAACACGAAATAAACCGGAGGTGTCTGGTTATAAATAAAAAAGTGATAGTCCTTTCAAATGGGATTAGACGGTGAAGTAAGCTCATGTATTTCGACGGCGGCGAGCAATAGGTTATTCTCTTGTGTACACACAGTTCCCATGGCGCTCATTGGTGGTTCAGAGGGTATTGTTTTGTTGTGGCGTCACTAATATTGGAGTTTTTGTCGTGACCGTCCTTGGTAGATGCACTTCTCGGTAGCCGGTTGACCTTGAACATGCCGTGTTCGTGAAGCCAGCAGCATGCTCATTCCCAGTTCCCGCTTGAACCAATGACTAGTCGATTTTTCGTATGCAAATTCCATATTTGAATTGCAGCAGAGTGGCCTAGTTCTTTTTGAAAAGGATTTTTGCCCGGATTGTAACGTCAGGGCACATAGCATCGGTGAGAGATTAACTTTATTTGCCGGGGGGAATCGCTATTCTGATGCCGGATAGTGAACCGGGTCAAAGATATGGCAGATGGTAGATATGGTAGATGGGATACTGAATTTTATGCATAGTACGGTGCACATAGGTTAAAAGCAACATAGTATCAAATCTCCTGTGATTTGCCGTGTGTGGTGTTCTGCGCCTTGGCGGGTGCCGCTGGCATTCTCCACGGATTCGGGAAAGAATTCACGGATTCACAATTTGATACACAGGATCAAGGCTTTTGCTCAGGTTTCCCGGGTCGGTTTTGTTCTTGTCGGTCAGTGGCTGTCGTCCACCTGGAAGGCACAAGTGGAAAAAGGATGTAGCATAAATAAATGTATGGTATTGCTTTGAACTGGGTTCTAGAAGGAGCGTGGACAACCAACAGAGGAAGGTCAATCCACGCAGATACTACCCGACAGGAGAAAAAATTTTGTCTAATAAATGTGTCCGCTTCGAGCTTGAAAATCTTCTTACTATGACCCTGCTGTGTTTACTGGATCAGCGGTGAAAAACCTGTTTACCTAGCTTTGTTCAAACAGGCCCCGTCGGAGACAACGGTACTCCGGGGGAAAGAGATCAAGCATCGCGAGACGCGTTTGTAGTCCATGGATTTGAGGCTGGCAACCATTCTCGTAGCGGCTCGCTGGACACGCTCGATGAGGGTTACGTCTTTCGTGCGTCCTGAGTAGACAACTTCGTTGACGTAATCCAGGAGCGGTCTGACGTAGGCCCCATAGAGTATTTGGAAGTCCGTGCGAGTAAAACGGGAGAAGGTGCGTCGGATCATCCGTAAAATGGCGAGCGCCTTTTGGGCTGGTTTCTCATGGTGCAGTGACAAGGACAAGTTTGAGGAGACCCAGATGCCCAAATCCTTTTTGGCATCTATCCTCATGATGTTTTCTGGTCCCTTTTCACCATGCATAACAAAGGCATTCGCTGAATCTCCTCAAAACGACATATGGACGCACTTCTCAGCATTCAGAGGAAGGTGCCAGCCCAACGACCACTGCTTGGCAGCGTCTACATCCATTTGGGGGGCACTGGCATTGGAGCTCCAGGATTTCAAGTCGTCGGTAAAAAGTAGACATGGACTCGCAAGAACGTCCGTGAGGTCATTGACGTAGATCAGAAACAGGAGCGGTCCCAAGACAGAGCCTTGAGGAACTCCAATGGAGACCGACGTTGGAGAAGAGTAGGCCGAGCCTATTCTCACTCGGAATGATCTGTCTGATAGGAACGCCTTGATCCAGCGGAGGATTTTCCCTTGAATCCCGTATGACTAGAGTTTGTGGAGCAGCGGGACGTGTGGGACCATATCAAATGCTTTTGAGATGTCGAAAACTCTGGCATCCGATATGAGTCCATCGTCCTTGGCTCGGGTGAAGCTGTCGGTAAGCATGAGCATAGTGATCTTACACTCAAAGCATATACTTCTGCCGAGCCTAAGACATATAGCTGTGCATAAACTTTATTTCTGTTGTGAATAATCGTCACTTGCTCGAAACAGGACACTGAACTGGCCGCAGAATCAGTACGCATTGGTGGTTTAGGAGTAGATTTTTATGCGAGCATAGCACTCCGCTCCGGTCAGTCAAAATATACGTATTAGGTGACCTTTGCCTAAAAACGTAAACCTTTTGAGTCTACCGTTACCTCAATTTTGATTGTTTACGCCACCGTCATTTGTACGGTTACATTTAAGAGAATGATGTTACAAGTACAATGACAGCGTTGACCTTAATGCTGGTTTTTCCTACATCTTATGGGACTAGTGCTGGAAGAAACGAACGTCTCGACGTTGGTTGAACGTTTCCCTGTAATGTATACGGACAACAGTTCCCTGAAGGTCACTTCAGAAACTGGCAATATATACTTTAACTTTGTCTTAGCACCACCGAATCAAAAGATACCGCGGATTGAATGTTTAAGCAAGCGTAAGTCTAGGCAACCTTGAGTACGCACAAAGACTGCGAACGAATGCTTAGCATCAGTGAATCCGTCCCTCAAAAGAACGACGTGGGTTAATGCAAGGTTGCCTCATAGCTTATGATGTATCAGAGAATTCGGAGAGTTTCAGAGCACACTTCAGAAGGAAGCTGGTGAGAGACAGTTTCAGATGCACAAATTTTGCGCAGCCTAATCTACACCCAGGTCTGCGTACACGAGTGATAAATTGCGCTTTGGTGGTCGGTAAACTGGTATGTTGTGGAAGCACGGCCTCAGGAGATTCACAAGGCAATTGGTTTTCATGTTCATTGAAGTTGTTCGTTGCAGGACCGAGGTCGAGAGACTTGGGTGTGCCTTGAACACGCTTTTGGGCAATGACCTTAGGGCTCACACCACAAAATCTGTACAACCTGGCCATATCGCGCTTGATATGCATAAACGTCTACCTAGAATTTTTGAATCGGAACAGGTTCTCTGGATTCCAAGGAGATCCAACTTAGCTTTCCCTTGGAATAAATACTCTGTTGCGGTGTTCGTGGATCGGTTCCTGTATCTCCGTATCCTCCGCGTGTAGCAGATTGCAAATGCAAACAACGGAACGCATGTCACCGGTGAATTAGATGGATAATGAGTGTTCAGAAATGGGTACTCGGTGTCCTCCAGTCGTTGCGGTGAACCGACAATAGAGTAAATCATCGAGACGAAATTAATGGCTTCACAGCTACTTCCAACACGCGGAGGCCCAGTCATATGGACCGCGTAATTGACCCAGTTTCGTGGCCCTGATAGGTTTATGTAAACAACGTCAACAGAATTGTGACCCTTAGCAACTGATACCCACAAGTGGACGACCGGGAGACAACCGTTGGTGCCTGAGTACTCTGCGTCATTCAAGGGATACATTACACTAGGTCCGCAATCGGCCGAGAACCACTTCACTGGCCATACGTCTGAATAAATCGATCGTATTTTATTTGCACGGAAAATATAGCTGCCCTCCTGGTCAAGTCTTATGTTTCCACGTTCCAAAATTTAGGAACATGGTGCGTCAAGCTGCGGATGGTGGTAAGTTGAGTTTCATTGCTCGGCTAGCACGGCTACACATTCTAGGGGGCACATGGGCAACGATGACGCCCACGACCGGAACGTTGCCGGGCACTAGTTTAGCTAGCCTCTCAGAAGTCATATGCCTTTATCAGTGAAGATGTTGCATTGGTGCCTGTTTTGTGCGTGTAATTCAGATTCGTGTGGTGGCAGAAAAGGCCGACCCATACACAGTCGTCTGAAGCGAAGCAGTTTCAATATCAGATGCGATCGCCGTGTGGCGTGTAAGAGGGTCGACTTTCTAATAAAGTTTATTTACAACCGATTATGTACAGCATGAGGCATGCTCACTGTAGTGTAGTTAGAGAGAACCCAGAATTACGGAAAGTTGGGACAGGAGTACAAAAATAGAAATATGTTACCAACACTGACGGCGTGCCGAGAACTGGATGAGAAAATAAAAATTCAGTAATCTTTCAAATGGGTGGCCTAGACACTAGATTGTACCGTGAATTAGATGGCCATACGTAGTTGGTCGCGGTGGGTAAAAGAGGAACGCCGGCAAAGTTGAAATGAGTCAAACACACTGGTTTTCAGAAGTGCAAATAGCCAGCACCTATGGGTACATGGGCTGGTGGAGAGCCAGAATTGAGTAGAATCCGATGATCATCAGGTTGTAGGTAACTTAACTCACGGGCGTAATAAGGCCAGAGTGCAGCAGAATAGCGAGTAAACCAGAGCTGAAGCATGGATTTGATAAGTATTGAACCTTCTGGCCTTCCGCTATATGGGCTTCGGGCGCTGGTGTCACTCATCCTGAAATAACAAGTCTTGACTAAATGACAGTCTAATGGACGATAGTTTTTCACGTTGTGTGTGACCTGTCTGTTAAGAAATTACCGGCTAACAACAAGAAACTGACGATGACGTGGTCAGTGACAATGAGTGATCCCAGTTCGGTCTCTGCAGACCCGGAAATTGTGTTCACTGATGTACATGAAAATGCCATCTTCCACACTAAATTTAGCCCCAATAGCTGCTGCATTTA